CGGGCGGGCGCAGAGGGCCGGGCGGGCGCAGAGGGCCGGGCGGGCGCAGAGGGCCGGGCGGGCGCAGAGGGCCGGGCGGGCGCAGAGGGCCGGGCTCTGTGGTTTCAGACCACCCGGGCCTGAGCGGCACGAGCCAGATCGAGAAGTTCCAGGAGAAGGCGCAGATGGAGCTGCAGGACTACGTGCAGAAGACCTACGCGGAGGACACCTACCGGTGGGTCCCCCTGTCCCCCCCGGGCTCGGCCTCAGCGGGGCGGGACACACGGAGGCCCCGGCGGAGCCGGCCTCCACGGAGGCCACGCTTGCTTAGATCCTCCTCGTTTTGTTCCGTTTCCTTTTGAGACAAGAGTCTCGCTCCGTCGCCCGGGCCGGAGCGAGTGCCGTGGCGGCGTCGGCCTCCGACTTCGGGGCTCGAGCGATGAGCCTCCTGCCTCGGCCTCCGTCTCCCGAGTAGCTGGGACGACGGGCGTGCGCCACCACGCCCGGCTCGTTTTGTATATATATTTTTACTTGTTCCGTTTTTTATTTTTATTTCAGTAGAGACGGGGTCTCGCTCTTGGGCTCAGGCTGGTTTCGAACTCCTGGCCTCCAGCGATCCTCCCGCCTCGGCCTCCCTCCCGAGTAGCTGGGACTACAGGCACGCGCCACCACGCCCGGCTTGTTTTTTTCTATATATTTTTAGTCGTCCAATTAATTTGTTTCTGTTTATAGCAGAGACGGGGGTCTCGCTCTTGCTCACGCTGGCCTCCAACTCCTGACCTCGAGCGATCCTCCTGTCTCAGCCTCCCTCCCGAGTAGCTGGGATGACAGGCGTGCGCCACCACGCCCGGCTCGTTTTTTCTCTATATATTTTTAGTTATCCAGTTAATTTGTTTCTATTTTTTAATAGAAACTGGGTCTCACTCTTGCTCAGGCTGGCCCCGACCTCCTGACCTCGAGCGATCCTCCAGCCTCGGCCTCCCAGAGTGCTGGGATGACAGGCGTGAACCTCTGCGCCCAGCTAATTTTTTTGTCTATATGTTTTTAGTTGTCCAATTAGTTTCTTTCTATTTTTTATTAGTGGAGACGGGGTCTCGCTCTTGCTCAGGCTGGTCTTGAACTCCTGACCTTGAGCGATCCTCCCACCTCGGCCTCCCTCCCGAGTAGCTGGGACTCTAGGCACGCGCCACCACGCCCGGCTCATTTTTTCTCTATATATTTTTAGTCGTCCAGCTCATTTCTTTCTATTTTTTTTTTTTTAGTAGAGACGGGGTCTCGCTCTTGCTCAGGCTGGCCTCGACCTCCTGACCTCCAGCGATCCTCCCTCCTCGGCCTCCCAGAGTGCCGGGATGACAGGCGTGGGCCTCCGCGCCCGGCCCGCCGTCAGTTCTGGAATGCAGAGCCGGGAACGAGCGCGGCCGGGTCCAGGCCCGGGGAGGGTCAGGGCCCCTGGGCCGGAGCGAGGAGCCCCCTGCTCCGGGCTAAACCCTGTGCACAAGGCCTGCGTTCCCGTAGCGACTGCCCTTGTCTAGAACCTTCTGGAAGGTCCGCCCCTCTGTCTGGCCAGCAGCCGGGGTGTGCCTGGCGGGACGGTGTTTGGCGACGGACCCCGAGTCCGACCCCTATAAATGATCTAGGTGTGTCGGATAAAATACTGATTGCACCCTCAGATAATCCGATGGACACAAGTCCCCTTATCTGGGTGAAATTTAATTGGCAGTGTTGTTTGTAAGGCCTGAGCATCGAAAAGTAAATAAAGGCCGGGCGCGGTGGCTCCCGCCTGTCATCCCGGCACTCTGGGAGGCCGAGGCGGGAGGATCGCTCGAGGTCAGGAGTTGGAGGCCAGCCTGAGCAAGAGCGAGATCCCGTCTTTACTAATAAAGTAGAAAGAAATGGGCTGGACAAATAAAAATATAGAAAAAACGAGCCGGGCGTGGTGGCGCACGCCTGTCGTCCCAGCTACTCGGGAGGGAGGCTGAGGCAGGAGGATCGCTAGAGCCCAGGAGTCGGAGGCTGCTGTGAGCTAAATGCTGATGCCCCGGCCCTCACTCCAGCCCGGGCGACAGAGCGAGACTCTGTCTCAAAAAGAAAATAAAAAAGAGAAAATCCCTGGCTGGGGGAGGCCCGGCCCGCTGGGTTGGATTCCGCCCAGGGCAGAGCCGGTCTGGGGCGGAGGCCAGAGGCCGGCCGGCCTCCCCCGGCCTCCACCGGCCCCTGAGCTCGCTGTTCCCTCCCGCAGGTTGGCCCGGATCCTGGTCCGCCTGCCGGCGCTCCGGCTGATGAGCTCCAACATCACGGAGGAACTGTTCTTCACCGGCCTCATCGGCAACGTTTCCATCGACAGCATCATCCCCTACATCCTCAAGATGGAGACGGCGGAGTACAATGGCCAGATCACGGGCGCCAGCCTCTAGTGACCCGCCGCGGCCGCCCAGGAGCTGCCGGAACCTTCTGGAACCTTCCAGAACGTTCCAGATTCTTCCGGAACCTTCTAGAACATTCCGGAAAGTTCCGGAACCTTCCGGAACGTTCCAGAGCCTTCCGGACGCAGAGCGGAAGGAAAAAAAAAAAAAACGAGAGCGGCAGTATCTCTTTGTATGTGCAAATATTCCCGTCTGTTTGATCCGCCCCCCCAGACCACAAGAGACTGGCGGCTGGGAGCCGTCTTCGCGCCTTTTGCGGAACCCTCGGATTCCGGAACGTTCTCCCTTCGCTCCGTCGGCATCCAGAGCTTCTCAAAGGGCAAAAAAAACCGAAACGAAACAAAAAAAAAAAAGAAAGAAAAAAGACAAGAGATGAAGTTTTATACGTGTCAGACACTAGTATTAAAGGAAAACAGAGAAAGAAACTGAGAAAAGCAACCCCAGAGAACAGTCTGCGTGTGCGTACGTACATACGTGTGTATATATGTATGTGTTTAAAAAAAAAAAAAAACGTGTTCTTGGAACTCATAGCTACTAATTATTACCAGGGTAATAATATTGATGATGATGATGATGATGATGATGTTATTGTTATTAGCACTTTCCTTAGCACTTGTTGGGGGCACGTGGCAACAGCAAGGCCACGTGTCCCCCGTGGACAGGGCGGGCCACGTGTCTCCTCCTGTGGACAGGGCGGGCCACGTGTGTCCTCCGTGGACACGCCGGGCCACGCGTCTCCCGT